AAGTGAAGATACAAATAAATAGAAAAATATTCCATTACCATGAATTGCGTGTTAATACTGTGAAAATGTCTATACTACCTAAAGTGATCAACAGGTTTCATGCAATCACTATCAGTTACAATGACATTTTCCACAGAATAAGATACCAATCCTAAAATTCATATGAATCACGAAAACTAAAAATCCAAATAGCTATCAATTTCTTGAACAAAAAGAAAATAGCTGGAAATATCCCAATACCTGACTTCAATATATACTACAAAACCATAGAGAACAAAACCGCAGAGTACTGATGTTAAAATGGACATGAAAACTACTGAAACAGAATAAAGAGCCCAGAAATAAGTCTAAGCCTTCAGAACCAGTTGTTTTCCACACAGATACTAAGAACACACCATGGGCATAAGACAATTTCTTTTTTAGTAAGTAGTATTGAGAAAACTTGACTTTTCACATTCAGAAAATAAAATTAGATCCTTATCTCACACCAGATATAAAAATCAACTGAATATGGATTAATGACTTAAGCATCAGATGCAAGAGTGCACACTAGTAGAAAATGCAGGGAAAACCCCCACTCATTGGCCTGGGCAATGAGTTTAGTTATGAGTTCAAAAGTACAGGCAACAAAAGCTAAAAATAGACACCTGAAGTTATATCAAACCCCATAGAAAAAGAAGCAACCAACGAAGTACAGAGACAAGCAAACCATGGAGTGGGAGAAAATATTTGCAGACCATGTAACTGAGAAGAAGTTAGTATTCAAAAAGTATAAGGAACTCAAGCAATTAAAAAGCAAGGAAACAACCCAACCGAAAAATGAGCAGAGGATCTGAATAGATATTTTCCAAAGAGGACATAAACTTGGCCAATAGGTAGATGAAAGATTGCTGGGCATCATTACTCATCATGGAAATGCAAATGGTTCTACTTATATGCAGTATCTAAAGTACTCAGGATTGAAGCAAAAATTAGGAATGTAATTGTCAAGGTCTGGAGAGAAAAAGAAAAGATAATATTTATTGGCTATTGAGATTCAGTTTTGCAAGATGAAATTCTAGAGATCTGTTGTATAACCATGTGAATATACTTAACATTACTGGACTTACACTTAAAATAGTTATGTTTATAAATGTAATGTTATATGTATTTGAGCTCGTGTACACACAAAAGGTATTTTCCAAAAAAAGTATAAATCAAATGTCTGCCTGGACAAGGCTTTTAATTATACTCTAATAAATATATGTAATTTCAGAGCTGAGATTCCATCATCTTACACATAATTTGTAAGTCATTATGATCAACAAGCATCTCAGCACTGTGAAAGTATGAAGTATATATAAATCATTAGACAAACATCTTAGGGGAGAGAGACAGACAGACAGACAGACATACAAAGTATCAGATGAGTTCTGGTCCCAGTTGGTTCCTGGGTAAATTTCAGTCTATTTTGCCTGACATCAAGATTTCAATGTACATGCCTCATTAGTGTTGGTAGGCATTTCTACAGTGGCAGTTTATCACACTTTCAGGGGACAGAAGTGTCCTTTGAAGAATTGCTTTCTGACCTCCTCCTTTTTCAACCCACAACACCTGATGAATGAGGCCTGCTCTTTTATTTTTCTGTCCACATATAAACACTGGAAGTTTTTGTGCATGGAAGGAAAGCGGGGCTGAAAAGCTTTGCAGGGAGGTTTTTACAGCAGCCTGCTTGTCAAACTCATGGATCAACAATTTCTCAATTAGAAGAAGATGGAAGAGAAGATAAAGTATTCGATGACTCTAAAGCTTCAGGTAGCAGCTGAGGAAGATTTTGAGAACATCTGGTTGGATTCTTTTTAGGTAAACGTCTCTTTTTACAATCTGCATACATAAAGCATGAAATTGGCTTCCCCTCACTCCTCCTAACAAGGAAGAAGCTTGCTAAATGGATTTGTCCTTTGATACAGTTAGGAAAATGATTGGGGTGACCTGTGGCACGCCCACAGGAGTTCCCCTGTCTTCTTCATTCCTCTCAGAAATAATATTTATGTGCTATATCAAACCTAATTTTAAGAGTCTATTTAACCTCCTGGTGCCAAAAAATAAAAATAAACAAATAAAAATTTAAAAAGTCTACTTAGCCCTACAGTATAATCATTTACCAGAGTAAAGCACAATTAATGATTATTTTCCCATGAAGTTTATTTATGAGGGGTGAAAAATGTTAACACAAACTTCCCTTATGTCTTAGTTACTTTTTACTCATTGCTGAGACAAAATACCTGAAGCCCAAAGTTGGGAAAGGAAAAGTTTATTTCTTACAGTTTTTGGAGGTTTCAGTCCACACTCAGTTGGCTCCAAGACAGGCAGGCATGGCTGGGCTGCAGTTCATGGCGGCCGCCAACAGCAAACTCCAACCAGCAAAGAGAAAAACAGACCTTCTTCCTGCCATTACATCACATCCTGGCTCCACCCCTATGTGGGTGGAGCACTGACACAATCAACCCAAGCACTAGACAATGAACAAATAACAAATGCACAATTCAAACTCATGAGGGCTGGGGGACACAGACATAAACCATGACACCTTAATTTAAACAATTAGTTTTTTGTGTACCTGGTTCATTTTCTTGCTTTGTTAATTTAACAATATCTTTTAACTGTGGACAGTAAATGCAGAATTGCATTTTTTTCTTTATTTAGTCTCATTTTGTGTGTTCACAGCACCTTGAAACCACAAAACTACATTATTATTTCAATATATAAGATGATAGCTAACAGGTTTCATAATGCTAAACTGTTTTAGAGCATGGCATAATCAACCAAACTAAATAACCAATTATTTTAAAATTGTGAATATATTGTAAAAGGAGAACTAAATTCAAACCAGCATTTCCTATTTAATGGGAAACTTTTAAAAACTTACAGTTTCATTTAATGATAGTTGCTTATATAGCATTATGTTTATATTATAATCCATGCTAAAATACTTTGAAGTTGACCTCACTTTGTGAAATGTACACTGATATTTAGCCTGTCACACCTAAAGTACTTTAAATGTTCATCTATAATAATACATGATTTCAAACTAATTACATGGGATGAAATGTCTCTAATTTGTGAGTTTCAATGCACTGATGTACTTCTTATATACCTTAAGCTGTCCTTTACTAAACAATCACGCAATCAGTTAACTCACATTTTCCACATTTTACATTATGTAGCTCTTAAAATAGTCCTGAGTTTCGGCTGTGGTTTACTAAAATTTGGCCTTATAATAAATACAGTTATAATTTACATAATGCTTTCTTTAATATAAAGAAAAATTATTAGGAACTTTTTATATTCTAGAAGGAATGAAAAGTAGAAAGTTGAAGATATCCCTGCAGAGTTACATGTAGTCCAGAAGGAAAGAAAGGAACAGAAAGTCACAGGAAATTTCAGTTAATTTATACCATCATCTTTAGGTGTGCTCTAAGTTTACGTTAAAATAATTAAGAAGAACAAACTGAGCTGAAAAACTTGGGGCTGTTAGGCTTCATTTAAAAGGAACTAGAAAACTGAATCAGTAGAAAGACTAAATCTTTTTATTCTAGCATGTCTTATACAGTTAGTTTCCTGCAGTGCCCTGGCTACCTTTAGTCATTTCACTGCTCATTGGCACCTCACTACAAGGAGGACAGGAAAAAGGAAAGACAAAACTGGAATTAAGCACTCGGTGGGTGTCCTCACTTGTTAACAAGGGTAGCAAAAAAGACCTAGAAATTGATGCTAAGAGTAAAGAATAGACTTTAAAATGATCACCTGTTTTAGCAACCTATGCCTGGAGTTAGCCAAGGGACCACATATGTCTTTAGCCTTGTCATGAAGTCTACTGTCTCTGGGTTACAGAAGGCTTGGTTCAGGAATAACTGGCATTTAGAAAAAGAAGTACATGAATCTCTCTTGTGTGAAATACGAAGGTTTAAATAATGATTTATATTATGTAAACAGCTCTAAGATCTTATTTGTTAAAGATATTTGCCAAAAGAAAGAGATCATCTAGTGCATTTTTTAGTTTTTCACTTTATTCTAAGTTAAATCGCTAAAATTAGAAACTAAAAAGAAAATATAGGTTAAGTCTAAGAGGAACTAAGGATACTGAAAGGTGACATGAATTCCAAACCCTGAACGTTAAGAGCAAAGTTGCAAAATTCTAAAGAACTCAGGTGTGGTAGAGTTCTTCCTCACCCCACCTTGGAACTCCCAAAAGCCTCAGGGCCTCCAGTAACTTGTTAAATTACTAATTAGAGACAGAAAAACCCTGGGGGGAGGGGGGCGGTACCAAAGATTTAGAAGACTGAAACTAAGGGACCCGGTGATCAAATCAGCTACAAAGGGCCAGCGGAGTCCAAAGTTGTTTCTGAGAAAAATCATTTTTGGGCTCCTGGGACTGAAGGACTCGGGTGGCAGCGCTAGGTATCTGCCTGTGAAAGAGTCTCTGCAGAGCCACTTTGGGCTAAGTTTAGGAATAAAAGAAAAAAGTTGTCCTACTAGGGATTGTTCTATTTTCTGCAGAACTAAAATGCAGGTGATCCCTTAAAAGCCTGGACTTTCCTTGTTGGAGGGCACTATGCACCATAGATTTTTATTTTCACGAAACAAACTCCAGAGGTTTGTGGCCTTCCAGACAGCAGCTGGCGCCGGGTAGAGGCACAGCCTCGGGCCGGAGCTGCGGGCGGTCGCACGGCTCCTGGCTCGGGAACCACGCAGCGCTGGCCGGCGGAGCGGGAGGAGCTCCCGCTGGAGCGGACGCCGTTTCCTTCTGGAAGGGCTGTAGGGATGGCAGCTGGCTGCTGCTCCGTAAGTTTGGGGGGCGGGGGAGTGAGCCGTTTTGAAGGGAAGGAGAGGGCAGGCGTGAAAAAGGGTTGGCTCCTCCTTATAACTCTGGTGCCCACAGCGAGGGAGATGGTGGCCAAATAAAACCCAGGGAGATTATCTCGTTTTAAGTGAGGAGGATTTCTGCATGAGCCTGCGATATGTCCCACAACTGTCGGTTTGGCAGGGGATTTGACTCAATCAGCTGCCATTTGAATCCACTTCAAATGCACCTCTCCAGTCCTGCTCCGACCTACTCCCCAGGCTGCAGGTGGGAGGGAGCAGAAAGAAAAAAATCAAAAGTCACCCTTCTTTGGTCTCCGCTCGTGGCAGACGCGCAGCTGGTTGGGTTCAGAGCAGGAGGTGCAGGAGGAAAGCCGGAGCCCTTAGCTTCTCTGGCGGGGACAGGGGAGGTGTGCTTGGAGCGTGCACAGGAAGTCACTGGAGTAGTTAGGCTGGGTGCTCGGCGGAGCCCCCTTTCCTCCGGCTCTGCAGTCCCTCTCCGGTCCCCGTGCCCACTCGGCCGCGCTGCGGTGGGGAGGAGGCGAGGAGGGTGCGGGTGGGACTCGAGTGGCGCTCGGAGCGCGCGGTGGCGGCGCGGCTGTCTCTTTAAGCGCTCCAGAGGGGCCGAGGCCGGAGGGCGGCTCGCGCGTTTCCATGGCACCGGGGCTGCGGGGGCCGCGGGCCGCGGCAGGGGCGGGCGCCGCTCCAGTCTCTCCCCGCGGAGCTGGGCCTCGCAGCTCGCCGGCCGCCGCGCCTCGGGGACTCGCTGCTGCTCCTGCGCGCCCCGCCTCCCAGGCGGCCTGGGTGGAGCTGCCCACGCGCCCTCCTCGCGGAGACGCACCTCGCGGGCCCCGGAGCGAGCCCCGCGCTCCAACTTCTGCCCGACGAGCCCAACTTCTGCGCCCGCGTCGGACTTGCGGGTTCCCAGCCGCGCGGTGCGCAGTGGGGCGGTGGCCGGCGCGACCGGCCTTGCGGAGACGACCTCGCGACCGCGGCGCTCGCGCTGCTGCGGCCGGGTGGCCGCCGGGAAGCGCCCTGCAGCTCCAGCCGGGCATGTAAGTGGCGCCCGAGTGTCCCCGCGAGAGCGGAGCGAGCGGCGCCCGTGCGCCCCCGCCGCATCCGCAGCGCCGCGGACCCCGCGGGCCGAGCCGGGACGGGAGCGAGGCGTGGGCGCGGGCACCGGGCTCCGCGCGGCTTCTCCGGTCGGTCCCAGCGGGTGCTTTGGGAGCGCTAGCCCAGAGCTGAAACTGCGACAGGGGCCGCGTGATTTCTACAGGATACTTTCTAAGTGGCTAACGGATTGTCCCCACCCAACCTGGAGTGTGTCCGGGTGTGTGTGGTTGTGTGTATTTATGCGTGGTGTGAGTTTCAGTTACTCTGAGAGTCATTGGCTAATCCGTGTGCCACTTTTTAAACGGGTTTTAAATGAAATCCCGTGGAATAGCGAGTTTCTTGACACTGGCTTCTCTATAGAAACCAAATGAGCTCTTGTACCTGGGTTGATTTTGAAAGATAACATGAGCCCGAGGAATGGATTATTCCACAGGTTTTGTTGAGTGATAGGAAGTGAGGAGTCAGGAGATTGTTTTGTGAGTGACTGAATGAAGGATGACTTGCGCAGCTCCTGGGGTGCCAGCGGAGAACTGAAGAGAAGACTGGTGCGCAGGCTTTGAGCGCGTGGGGCATGGTTTTCTTTGCAAACTAAAATGATGAAAGCTAAGAAAAACTAATTCTTGGTCATTGTGTCCAGCGCAAGGAGGAGCCCAGAGGAAGTCTTTGCAATTTGCCTGGTCTCCTTGACTGGCAGGAGAAGTTTCTGCTGAAATCTGTAGCATCAGCGGGATCATCATCGAACTGTCTGAGAGAGAAGCCAGATCAAATTCTGCTTTTCGGTTTCTGTTCTCAAGAGGTTGTGAATAGACAGATACCAGACTATTTTGAATATTTAATTTTTGCTACTTCTTTGCTTAGTCTTTGCTTTTATAAAATGTAAATATTTTATAATGGGAACTGGTTGAGATAACTTCACAAAACCATCCATTCCTTTTGAGAGTTTTTTTTTTTTTTTTTTTTTTTCCTGTAAGGAAAGTACTGGTTTTGGATTCGCTTTACATTTCCATATTTTATCCCTCTGAGGTGAGATCAAATTGATCTCTGGTTACTGCAAATGTCATTAATTATAAATCTTGAAACATGGCCAGGATGTCAGTGGCATTACACAACTTTTAGTCTCCAGAGTGTAAATACGTATTTGGCAGAAATACAGAGGATTTCTGCGAATGTGATTTTTCTTGCTTTGATAAGATTTGCCTTGTTTATTTTGGAGGAATTGATTTAGACTTTTCAGTTTATCTTAGAAGATGCCTCACTTTGGATAGCTTGTGCAAGCCATAAGCCTCCATATCTTAGAAATTGTCCAGTAGCCTTGATCATAATTACCTTCACAAGAGCTGTTATTAAAATGGATCCTAGGTTGCCTTATTAGCTGCAGAATCACCCGTGCACACTGAGACTGAGTAATTCCTTTGGGAAGACACTGAGAAATAATAGGACACATCACTTTTACATTACTTAACTGTTTTAACTCATGTTTCAGTATTGACTGTTTTGTTAAAAAGGCTGGAAGGATGAGATAGCATTTTCTTTAAGAAGGCTTCTCCTGCAGCTCATTTATTTATCAGGTGAAATGAAATTGGATATTAAACCCAATATAGCTTCTTGAGCATTTAATAGAGATGTGTTTTCCAGGGAGTTATTGAGAATACTCTGGTGACTCAGTACTTTCTGAAATCTGGGTGGGGAAAATCCAATCAAACTTATATTTAGTTCTTTCTGATCAGAACTAACTTTTTTTTTTTTTTTAAAGTGGGAACCATGTTGGGATTTAGTACTAGGTTTCTGCAGATGTCTTTTCAATTTTTGTTGGCCTGTGGAATGAAATCATGTATAACACGTGGCTTCCACACACCTGTCCATCTATTAAATGAAACACACTTCTCCCTGAGATTTTTATTGACCTCTTAGGTCCATTATCAGTGAAGGCAGGTTTTTAATGAGGTGAAACCCAATAATGAGAATGCATCATTTTACCAACTGGCACTTACAGGTCATTAACACAGGTAAGAGTTTTATGTTGCTGATCCTGTACTTGAACCGATTTGGGGAGCTACAGTGACAACTAAAAATAGGAAATGGCTGTGCACCTAATGTCTAGCTTCAACATCATGCACTACATTTATGGTGTACTCCTCAGAAGGTATATTCATTTTTAAAATAAATTTTATTAATAAAACAAAAGATGTTTGATATGTGAGCTTTTCTATTCTAATTATAATCAGTATGTCTGATGTTCTTGTTTTGTTGCATTTAGTAAACTCAGGTAATAGGCAAGGCAGATTCGTAATACCAGTATTCCAGAAAGAGTGCTTAAGCACCTACTCTGTAGATAGGTACTGTAGAATATTGCTAATAATTAATTCATTTGAATTCTCACTTAGATGCCAAGAAAATTTATAGAAACTTCCTATGTAATATTTGATTTAATCATGAAACTAATCCTTAAGTCCAATCTTCAGTAATTCAGAATAGTGTTTGTGAATCTAGGTAGTTTGATTCCAGAGCTGAAATTCTTAAATGTATATCTTATTTCACGACATCCAGCCCCAGCCTGTTTTTAAAAGTTCTTTTAAGGTGCGCATGGTGGCACACACCTGTTATCCTCACACTCTAGAAGACTGTAGTGGGAGAATGGCAAATTCATGGAGAGCTTGGGAAACTCAGTGAGACCCTGTCTGAAAACAACAATGAAAAGGGCTAGAAATGTAGCTCATCGTAGAATGTAGGTGGAGAGGGAGAAAGGTTCTTTTTAATTGCATTCAAGTAGTCTCGGTGGGAATGGAGCTAGTGCCTTCTATCAAGTAGGTACTAAGCAATTGTTTTGTGGCCACTTTTGATTGTTGCAATAGCTGTAGGGTTTTCTGTTGGCGTTTGGTGCTAAGTTAGAATGCTAAGGTTCCTGTAATGGGTGGGAAGATTCCTCACAACTACGATCATATTTCTCTGCATCTTATAAACTCTGCATAAAATTTCTCCTGCTCTTTTATGCCTGCAGGTGCTTACATATTAAAATGATGGGCTAGGCTTAAACTGGGAATTGTGGAGTGGGGAAAAGTTATCTTAAGTGCACTATGAAATGGAGTTTTAACTGATGATAGCAATTTGATGAAGGGATATTGAGGAGTTTATTTATGTTAATGGCACTCTGCAAATGTTTTCTAAAGGATTAAATAGGAGGAAATAAACTCAACCCAGGTCTTTAAGACATCTAGGGGAAATGACTAGCTGTGATGCGTTCTATTAATATTTATCCTTTGGAATGTGCTCTTGTAAATACTTGCATAATAATATGATGAAAAGGGGTAAAAATGAAATTGCATGACAGACAAGGTAGATTCATAAAATTAGTATTCCATAGAGAGTGCCACAGTACCTTCTATGTGCTTAATAGAAAGTGCTACGGAAGAAATCAAGACGGAGCCACTGATTTAAGCTTCAGGAAGAGGAGGATGCAGGGCAGGTGGAGGCTAGATTTTTAGACACCTGGAGGAAATTTTAAGGTGTGACTACTTTGTGACACAGCAGTCTCCCAAACAATATACGATACCTTACATTCAGCCATCCAGCCATCAATCACCTAGCATGCATATCTGGTGCATGCAATTTTGACATGCATTCAAAATATGCCGAATATAATGCACTATAATGCTGTGCATCCATCTCTGTTTGACAACAGCCAGGCACAGAACTATGCTTCACATCAGCCTTCTGTATCTGTTGTAGAAACTTGGAATCAGAACAGGGTTACAGAGATTTAGATTATAAAATTTTAAAACAGAGCGTGTCAATAAGTTATGATAATTTGGAATAATGAAAGGGAATTTGACAGAGTTGTTTCATATCCCACACACTATACTGGAACTTGTCTTTAATCTCACTGTGTAACCCAGGTTGTCCTCAAACTCACGGTGATCTTCCTGCTTCGGTTTCCCAAGTGCTGGGATTATGGATATGTTTCACCAAACCCGGTGACAAACATTTTTCTTTTGAGTTTTTCTAAGACGGTCACTGAAACTGAGCTATGTCAATTTGTTCTGAATGCTGTGACAAAATGCTGTAAACTGGATGGTTATAAACAACTAGTATTTATTTCTCAAAGTTCTGAAACTAGAAAACCAACACATAGGCACTGGCTGGATTGGTGTCTGAAAGGGACTATTCATTGGTTCATAGATCTAGCTGGTCTTCGTATGAGGAAAGAGACAGTTGAGCTCTGTAGGGACTATTTTAAAACGCAACTGATCCCATTCCTGAGAATACCCCATATGACTTAATCACTGCCAAAGATCCCTCCATATGCTACCACTGCCTTGAGGTTGGGAGTTCAGTATGAGGTTTAGAAGAAAACAATATTCAGACCATGAGCAACCAAACAATGTCTGTGTCTAATAAAAATCCAGTTTTAAGATGGGCAGTGGCTTTCCATTTACTCATTAGTATGAATTACTTCAATTTTTTTCTTTCTTGTGGATCAAACATGTTAGTGAACATACAAATTTAAAAAGAAAAGGCTGTGTGCACTTTTTATGAATGAAGAATATTTAGCAATTTGTATTTATGATTGTCTTTAATTTTAACTGTAGTCCTATGAAGTAAATAATACTGATATTTTTCCAGATGAGGACCCTGCGGCATTTAGAGACTACTTAACTTGCCTGATGTTCCACGCCTGCAGAGTGAAGGAAAGGACTCTGGCTCTGTCCTGTCTGCTTTATGGCCTTTTGCTAATCGACGTCTTGCCATGACCTTTTCATGCTGTACCAACTCCCAGTGCCTCTAGTTATCTTCCTTAGGTGAGGCCTGTTTGTATGTGGTAGTGGCTCTTCTCTTCCCTCTGCCCCTGACGAAACCCAAACCCGTGTTCTGCAGTGTAGCAATCCATACTTTACTGAGAAAAACTGACATTATATTTGTATGTAAGACCAGTGACGGTCTTGTT